AATTAACCTTTAGTACACAACCTTATTGAATGCTTCTTCTATAGTCCAAATGTATCAACCAAATCCATAGGGGTATTCTCATTTAAGAAAGCAGAAACCTTATCAAAGAATATGAAAGTTAACTTTGTACAAAGAGTGTAACAGAGGTCAGCACCATGAAAAGTTTAGAGTAACTTATTTCCTATTTTTCAAGTTAAGGATTAATTCCATGACACAAAGTACGAGTTTCAAAAACATTCAGACTTTCTGACAGACGAAATTGACTTAAAAAATTGATCTTGGTAAATGTATTTTCCTTCCTCATCTCTTACCATATGGAGGTCTTTCCCACGTTTATACTTGTTTACTTTATATAAATGAACTGGTGCAGATCCTTGAAATGGTCCATCAATTTCCTCATTTCTGAAGTTTTTCAATACTGGTAACAGTGATTCCACATTGTTGGATTTTTTTGATTTCAAGTGTGGATGATGTTTACTTTTGTGTCCAGTATGATGTCTCGACATCTACAGATGTAACAGATATTAAAACAACACACACTTATGCAATCATTAAAAATTAAAATTCACTTAGAGCATCTCGTACGCATCTCTTTGCACGTTTCACACAAAATTACTTTTCAATAGAATACTTACATTTTTTGGTCTCCTTCTATTACATTATATAACATTCCCAAGTATTATATTTAAGTTTTTGCTTCATGGGTACATAAATAACGTAAACCAATCAAGTGTTCATATTCTTTCAGGGTTGTTATTTTTAAAAATTTGTTGCCTTTCTTATTTTATCATGTTCTTTCTTAATTCAATGGTGCCACACAGGAGAAACTCAAAATATATTACCTACAAAAGCAATAAACAAGTATTTACTTGTTATTAAACAAATGTTTAAACAACTCTATTCAATTATGTACCAGCTGCCTAGTGTTGGCTAACAATACAAAGAATTAAACTGTGGCATAATTTTACAAGTTCTTCAAATACCCATAGAATGATAGGCTTCTTTTTCAATACCTCACTACTATAAAGCCTTGGTTTGGTCTGTTTCATTGGTGGTAGTGTCCAGAGTCACTGATGAGGAGTGGAATTCTCTGAAACTAGTCTGGCACAAAGACACACCCTCAATGAAAGAAAAATAGACCATTCCAAGCTTTTATTGTTGTTAAACAAATATTTAAACAACTCTATTCAATCAAACAAGTTATTAGTACTTTTTAACATTTGAAAGAATAAATTAAAAATACAAAAAAATCCTAAGATATAAATGCAACAAAGCAAGTACTCAATATGATATATCAAAATGATGAAAACAGAAGACACTATGAAGCCCATCTTAAAGAACATATGTACAAGGTGAGATATAAGAACATACGATGTGTTTCTATTTTTATGTAGTATTATAACATATATTCTCAATTTATTCTTTGTTCTGAATATGTGCAGGTTTCATTTAACATGTGGTCAAAAAAACCATTTATTTGCTCTTGTTGCAAGTTATTACCTTTGATTTTTTGTTATTCTTGAAGTTGTTAATATCTGCTTGCACCTGTGGATAACATTGCAAAAGCAGCCTTGTGAAAGGATGATGATAGCGATGTCCTTCAGTAGTTGTGCAGATGATATCTAGAGGTTATGGCCCCACCTATTTGTAATGCAAATGACAATTAAAATAAATTGGATATATGCAAAGTTTATAAGGAACCTGGCCTTTAGTTAGTTTGAAATTTTCCATTCTACAAGACAATCATTTCTAGAGCTTGGTCTTGACCAAATTAATACTAAATTAAGCAATCATTCAAAGTACTCTGCAAGTATACACGCAGTGTTTGCGTTTAATGCACTAATAAAGATTGTTCATTTTATGCAATAATTGTATGTACTCTCATTATTTCACTTAACATGAACTCAGTTAAGTAGATTTTAACTGCACATCATAATTTATATCTAGTAAAAAAAAAGGGGGCAACTACATGTAAAAAATCCATGTTGGCTCACAAAGGGCATTAAAAAAGCATTATAAATGTAAGAAGTTTAAAATGACTGCAGTGATGAGAGATTTGAAGGATTACAAAAAATCAAGAGGGTCGGTCAAATGGAAAATCAAAAAACTATACGAAAAAAGCTTAGCTGAAAATGTAAAAATTAAATACATTAAATGTAAGCAATATATATTAGGATGGAAGTAAGGCCTTTGAGGAATGATACAGAAAGGCTCATATCTGATGATTTTGGGAAGAGGTTATTAAATCCTGTTTTTACTAATGAAGATTTCAGCAATATTTCTCATCCAGTTGGTAGGTGGAAACAAGATTTAACAAGATGGTCCCATTAATTCTGAGCTTTTTAAGAAAAGACTGAGAATTTAAAAAAAATTAAAGATCCTGGGCCAAATAATATTTACCCAATAGTTTTGAAAGAAGTTAAGGATTGGATACTTGAGTCACTTGCTACTATTATTTATAAGTCCTTGAAAAGTAGGCAGGTGTCAGAAGACTGTAATTGGCTAAAGTTATACCTCTTTTCAAGAGAGGTGATAAGAATTGCCCCAGTAATTACGGGCCTATTAGTCATACATTAGTGGTGGGAAAAATTTTTTAATGTCTGATAAAAGATTCTTTATAAAGTCATTTAACTAAGTTTAAAATTTTGTTACATAGTCAACAGAGGAAAATCTTGCCTTACTAATAATTTAACATTCTTTGAAATGGTTACTACTTAAGTAGATGAGGGTATGAATGTGTCTTTTGAGTATCTGTGTTTTCAAAAAGGAATTAACAAGATGCCACATAAAAGGTTTGTTAAAAGATATCTCTATAGGTGTGGGTGACAGGTTGGCTTATTGGTTAGAAAATTAGCATGATGGACAAAAGCAGAGGGTTATTATAAATGGAGTTCATTCAAACTGGATTAATGTCACAAGTGGGGTACCTCAGGGCACAGTGTTAAGATCCCTGCTCTTTTTTATTTACATCAATGACATAGATGAAGGAATAGTCAATAAATTACTTAAATTTGACTATGATATTAAAGTTTCAAGTGTTACTGGCTTTGAGAATGTTGCTGATTTACAAAATGATTAGGATTATTTGGTGAATTGGACAAATAAATGGCAGATGGCTTTTAATTATGATAAATTCAAGGTAATACATAAGGGATATTACAATTTTAATTCTAAGTATAATTTTGATGGGAATAACCCTAACAGTGTTATGTAAGAGAAAAATCTTGGTGTTCTGGTTGATCACTCTTTTAAGATTATAATCACTTATACTAAGTTATAGCCCATTGATGTATGCATTACTAGAACAAACTAAGGACCTCAAACTTTGAGTAACTTGAAAGTAAAACAACACAATTTACTTCCAATTAATTATGTAAGTTATTTCATTAGTATGTGCATATTAATGAGCTCAGATTCAGATTATCTAAAAACAATATTTTAAAGATTTATAACACTAACCAGCTAAATTATACATCAATGTGAACCTTCAGAAGAGAGGAAAGGCATGAACCTAACATTACAAATGTGAGTGTCACTGAAGAAAACAAAAAACATTTATTTTAAACATTACAAATCAACCCTCCAGTTACATACCTCTTATAATTAGGATGTAACTTTTATAAACCAAATTTTAGTTTATTCCCTGCAATATTTCCAAAGCTGTTCTATGTGAAAATTTGACAAAAGTACAATTGTTTTTGTCTGTCAGATAGGGAAAAAACTGGAAAGGAGAAAAACTTAAATAAAATTGAAAGTTGCCATCACTTAAAGGTTTAATTGATGACATCATGCCATTCCATAAACCTTTCAGTTTTAGAAAAATAAAAACTGTCTTAAGACCACGAAGCAACATGGTGCAGTCTCGTAATAGATTAGTGCTTCAGTATATAAAAAATTCTGACTAAATGTTTCCAATCTAGCGTCTAGGCCTAACCTCAAACAGAGTAAAAAATACTTTTAAATAAATGTTTTCCAGCTTGCATATCTCAACTTTTAATTCTAGCACCTGCAGCAACTATATCAACCCCTCTAACCATTTTGAAGACCTAAATAAAATATTTCTTAATTTTTCTGTACTATAGAGAAAACAAAGGTTCTCCTCAGTCAGAGCCTACATGATTTAAACCAAATGTAATTCCAATCTTACACCCCATCTCTATACACTTTTTCCAACATAAGTCATAAGAACATACTCATTATTTTCTGGCATAAAACATTAAAACCCTATCCTATCTTCTCATGTAAGTAAGGGAGTTAAAATAAATCAATAATCATACTTGGATGAAAATTTTTGGGTACTTATCAAATTATGGAGGTCACTAGACAGTGCTATAACTTAGTACAAGGAATTAACAAAAAATAACAAGGTGAACGGAAAGGAAAAAAAAGACATTTGCTTGTAAGTTGTAGGGTTACTCTAATCCCTACTGATTTGATCTTCTCACTCTTAGCCAATCTTCTATATAATAAATCATTAAAAGGTTTTTGAACATCTAAGTAGTAAAGTACACCAACGTGACCAAGTCCATGTCCTTTCCATCACTCAGATAACAAGTAACATCTTTGAAAAAAGAAAAAAAAAACGGATATGTAACATACTTGAAGTTGAACTTTACCAACACAAGCAACTGTGTTACTGTTAGCCTAGTAAAAAGAATAAACTAATAGAGTACTAAAATTTTAAAAAGTAGTATTGAACGTTGAAAATTGAAGTTATTTATTTCGTACTTGTTATATTTATAAGTTATAACTTAACTTATAGTATATTTATGCTCTAGCACTGCTTAGTAGTACCTATTCCTCAAGTCTAAATCAACGAACTATTGGAAACAAACAGCCCTAAAGAATTTTATAAACATCCAGTTAAATGCAAATAATTCCCTTTCACCCACATTACTCTTATTCTTAGTCTTAATTTCCGGCTGAAATTACTAAGTGGACCAAGTTAGTAGTAGTAATGCAATGTCAAATATATTAAACCTATTATTAAGCTTAATAACATTAATAAGCGATCCAGTTATTACCTTTTACGAATTTCGTTTGGTTTTTCAAGAAAACAAAGTTTCTACCAGCCCAACTATACAATGACCAAAATGATATAATAACGAAAGTCTCGTAAAACCCCGAGCAAGTTTGTATTATTAACCTAAAAAGTCCCTACAGCACGTGGAAATTAAAAACATTCAGCGTCACCTGTAAATATGTCAATACCAAAGCGATTTTATTTTATTTATTTATTTATCTATCAATAATTTTTTGTTTGTTTTGTTTTGTTATACTTTGCTCAAAGATAACTAGAAGGCTATCTTCGCTAGCCGTCTCTTATTTTGATTGTTTCTTTATTTGTTATACATTTCGCGCAAAGCTACACGAGGGCTATCTGCGCTAGCCGTCCCTAATTTAGTAGTGTAAGACTAGAGGGAAGGCAGCTAGTTATCACCACCCACCGCCACCTCTTGGGCTACTCTTACCAACGAATAGTGGGATTGACCGTCACATTATAACGCCCCACGGCTGAAAGGGTGAGCATGTTTGGTGTGACGGGGATTCGAACCCGCGACCCACAGATTGTGAGTCGAGCACCTTAACCACCTGGCCATGCCGGGCCGCTCTTATTTTGAAGTGATAAACTAAAGAGAAGGCAACTAGTTAGCACCACCCATCTCCAACTCTTAGGGTACTCTTTATCAAAGAAAAGTGGGATTGACCGTAACATATACCGCTCTCCACTGCTAAAAGGGCGAGCATGTTCTGTGCCAGGGTCCAATCCCACTAGCCGCAGATTACGAGTCTAGCAACCTAACCAAAGCAGAAATATTTCCAAATTCTTATGATTCAGTTTTTGTTTGGTCAACTACAGAGAAAATGAGAATTGTGAATATAATTTAGCATTTTCAGTCAGGTTTATTCTGTTTTGAGAAAATCAGAACTCACAGTTGAAGTCTCATCTTTGTTCTATATATACCATTCTTTATTTAACTATAGTCTAACACCAATTATCATTATGTCCAATTATTCGTATCAAAATTTGAAAATTACGATATTGTTGCGTCATCGAGTCACATGACTATTGTGACGCAACGTTTCTAGAACTATCATGTACTTTGGCGAATGCTCTAGTGTTTGCTAGATGGGGTAGGTGGATATATAAGAGGGGAAAACGTGACGCGGGAGATTATTGTAATGTGTGTTTAGATAGTGAGTAATTGAACTGCAGTTAGAGAGCACGAGAGACGTTACAGCGTTTGTTTAGCGCGATTGTTGAAGTTGAGTGTATTGGTAAAGTTATATTCGGAAATAATAAACCAGTTTTAATAAGAAAGAACTTGTGTCGCTTAAGTTTCGTCGGAACGAAGTTACGGAAAGTTAATTAACAAACGGAGACGTAACAATATGTACATATATATATTTTCTTTGTAAAAAAAAATGTAAAACGTGTTTTAACAAGCTTGGATTATTTTGTAAGGTAGATCTCGTTGCAGAACTGTCATTTGCGAAATTAGTCTATTGAGTATGGACGTGCTTTGTGTTTCCTTAAACATGAAAAATCAAAGATGCTCTTTATTGGGTTGAAAGTGTCTTTAAAATGCAAAAGAATGATTCTTTCTTTGGGTGTCAAAGTAGACATTGTGGACAATTTAAAATATGGCGAATCTGGTAAAAAGCTAGCAAAGAAATATGGTGTTCGAACTTCAACAATGTTAGACATAAAAAATAGTGACTCAGTTCTTAATTATGTTCCTGTTTTGGAGAAGGAGGCAAAGTTCAGTGCGGAAGCAATGAAATAACCCGAAAATAAGAAAGTAGATAATGCTGTTTGCTTGTGGTTTTTACAAAAGCGGTCACTCGGTCAGCCCATTTCAGGGCCTATTCTTTTGAAAAGGCTGTAAGTTTCAACAAAAAACTTGATGGTAATCCAGATTTAAAGGCAAGCTCAGGATGGCTAAGAAACTTTAAGTTACGACATGACATAATTATTCTGGAAATTCATGGTGAAAAGCTTTCAGCTGACTTTTCAAAGACTGATAAATTTGTAAACAAACTAGAAACGTTAATTCGCAAAGAAAAGTATGATACTGACTTCATTTATAATGTAGATGAAACCGCGTTTAACTGTGTTACGTCTCCGTGTGTTAATTAATTTTCCGTAACTTCGTTCCGACGAAACTTAAGC